TAGTGACTCAGATTTTCCTAGTAGCCCCTTTTTAAGGGGTTAAAAAAAATGCTGGGGTAAACTGTATTAAATATATTTTGCTCAGCTAATCATACCTAAAGCATTATTTCAGCCGTTCCCCACAAGCAGCTCGTTAGTGAACTATTCCATGGTCCTTTCTTAAAATGTCAGTGTCTCGTGTATCTCACCCTGGTGCCCTGCTCCCGTGGCCAGCGGCTGCTGTGACGGGCCGTCGTGGAGGGGCCTCGGTCCTCCTTGCCCCGTGGGTCCCACCGAGCTTTTGCTCGCCCAGGTCATCCTGAGAGCAGTGTCTTTATGGCCGAGGTCTGCCCTTCTCTTGGAAACCAGGTTCCCAGCGGGGGACCCCTGGGCTCCTGTGACGTCTGAGCCCTTGTTACCCTGTGTTTTAGCTGCTCTCCCGCCTCAAGGGGAATCTGGAGGAAGAAAACCATCACCTGCTGAGCCAGATCCAGCTGCTGAGCCAGCAGAACCAGATGCTCCTGGAGCAGAACATGGAGAACAAGGAGCAGTACCATGAGGAGCAGAAGCAGTACATGTAAGGACGCCTGTCCTCCATGGGGGGTCCTGGCTCCCCCCGCCACGCACCGAGAGCTGGAGGTCAGCCTGGCCCGCTGCCGCCCCAGGGCCGTGTCCTCGTTCCAGCACCTTCTGGTGGTTTTCAGTGGGCGTTGGGGGTCTGCAGGTGGCGACAGTTGGCATTTGTTTCCTTCACAAAGGCACCCCACTGCCCGAGGCTGCTCAGTCTGCTTTTGGGGTTACATCACTCCCAAAGGCGGGGAGTACTGGCAGGGCATCTCCAGCAGAGAACCGAAACTGAAGGCTGAGCAGGGGTGCCCCTCTCATGTTCCCTGAGACTGCCTGGCTCCGGGGATGCTGCGGGGTGCTCCCTGGGCCGGAGTCCGATGTGCCGGCTCTGGCCCAGGCCCCTCGAGCTGCACAGACCTGTGTCTCAGCAGCTGGGACCCTCTCGGGGGGCAGGACGGGGTGATTAGAGCTACGTCCGTGTGAGACATGTTGAGGAGCAGGAGGATGTGTGGGAGGCGGCCTGGGCTGTGCCAGCCCAGGTGGGGTGCTGCTGGGGTGCGGCCATGTCTGGGTTCAGGGATAGCAGGCTGTCAGGAGATGGAGCGGGGGTGCAGGCTTCCCTGGGGAGTGTTCGGTGGGTGGCCATCTAGCCCGGCCTAGAAAACTGCCAGAAATAGAGGCCGGGAGCCCTGGTGCCAGGAGCCCCAAGGTTCGGACGTGGAATAGTCCAAGATGCTTTGTGTAACGGGGTGTTTTCAGCCCTCCATGTAGTTGTGGGGGAGGAGGGGCTGTCCTTCCACGTGATGGGCATGGCGGCCTTGTGGGGAGGCCCGCAGAGGCCAGGTCCCAGCGAACCCCAGGTGCCGTCCCAGGCACTGCAGGATGCACCTTCACTCACAGCTGCAGCCCCAACTGCTCATCTTGGAGTGGCCGCTCAGCTGCTAAAGGCCGGGCCCATTAGACACCACTGCCCTTTGGGGGTAGACGTGAGTGTTGCCAGCGCTGCCCCTCTATAACCCGCTGATGAAAGCAGCAGGTGCTGGCTCGAGGCGCCCGAGCCTGGGACCCAGGGGACCTGATGGTGGGCTTGCATTCCGCGTCTGCAGAGACCCCAGAACAGCCTCCAGGGGGTGCCGTCCCTGGGGGTTCTGGGGGCGGCGAGAGATTGCTTCATCTGTGGGCTAATCCTGGCTGTGTCAGTGTTCAAAGCACAAGGCCGAGCCACAGGCTGAGGACAGTGACGCAGTGCAGTGACGCAGACCAGGAGCCGGGCAGTGGGGGTGGCCAGCAGCCGGTGCGTGGGGAAACCTTCAGTTTGCTCGAGGTGTGCCCTTTACGGTGAATCCTTGGAAAAACCCTCAGTCTGGGTGGGACCTTGGCAGCTTCCCCATGAAGGGGACTGAGAAGGTACCTGTGGTCCAGGGGTGTCATTTTCAAAGAGAAACCGGGGGCCCAAGTAGTGAAGAGCACCAGAGGTGGCCAGAGCAGGACAGCAGCCCCGCCCCTGGGCATGAGGGGTGGTGTGCATTACCAGCCCCCCAGGTCCCTCAGTAGGAAGAACAATGTCAGCCCCTGACTGCCAGGGTCACGAGGTTCTTCTTGATCCTTCCTGTGTGTCTGGAAACGTGAGCTGGTCTCCAGCACTTCAGAGTCCGGAGGCTTCGTCTCGTCACCTGAGTTTCTGGCTTCTCAGAGAGACAGGGCCTCCCACGCGGCAGCGTGCTCACGACCTTTCCGCCGTCCCACCACTCCCTCGGTCTTCCTAGGCTGGCTTCTCAGCTTATCAAAGCTCCCTGGAAGCTTTGGGGTTGTCCCTGTGCAGGGTTGACCAGACCTGACATCGCAGTGGGTTTAGGTCACCAGTCCGACTTTTTCCACCCTGATGTCCATGTAACTCCCCGAGGACAGACTCCTGCCCCTCACCAGCGGTGATAACATGCACCCCAGAAGCTAGCCTGTGTCCCACCCCAGTGCCCACCGTCCTGCCTGAGCTGGCCACAGAGTCCTCGGGGCTTCTGAGCCTGAGCTCCAGGTGAGCGGTTTGCTCCCAGGTGAGTGGGGTGCACGTGTGTACAGCCAGATGCGTCATGTGCTCCACTCACTTGGGCCCAGCGCTATGTCACCTCTCTCCAGATACACACCGACGCCCCAGGGCAGGCCTCAGGTCCAGCCGTGAGTCAGTCGGTTTCCTTGCTTTATTCAAAACGGGATGGATAACTTTTCTCTGCCCCTCTGTTCACAGAGACAAATTAAATGCTCTGCGAAGACACAAGGAAAAACTAGAGGAAAAAATCATGGATCAGTACAAGTTCTATGATCCTGCTCCGAAGAAGTGAGTTGAGCACCATTCCCGTGACTCAGACGCAGCCCGGAACGCCGTCCTCTCTCATGAGGGAGTGGAAGCTGGCTGCCTGCAGCAGGCCCGTGTGTGGGGCTGGGGTCTCCGCCGGGGTGGGGCATCTGAGGGGCAGGGTTCTGACCGGTCCCATCCCCACCCTCCATGCTCCCGAGGGAGGCAGATGCTGTGGGCCTGGAGGAGACACAGGCATGGCTTAGCCGCCAGCCTGCAGGGACAGAGCGGAGCCTTGAATGCGGCATGGGCAGTGGCCTTGTTAGGTTTCATCATGGGACTTCATAGGTCAGAGAAAGCCACAGTGTGTTTGGGTGGGGTTGGGCCACCCTAGGTCTTTAACCCAGGAGCGTGCGGCTTCCCAGACACACTGCCTGGTGTGGGCTGGCCGGGGGCGGCCCTTGGCGAGCCCCATGCCCCAGGGGCCTGGGGGAGGCAGGCACCAGGACTCTGTGACTCTTAGGCCTCCTTGAAATCCCAGAACCACAGAATTCCTCAGCCTCAGGCAGAGGCCAGGGCCAGGCGAGGAAGGGGAGGGATTGGAGTAAGCTGTGCTGTCAGCTTCAGGCCGGACCCGGAGGCCATGTGTCCCCGCCCCATTCCTGTCACTCAGCTGCAGCTCAGTCACCCCTCAGAGCACTGGTGTTGTCTCCGACAGCTGCCCTTCCCCTGGGCCTGCTCCTCCCTGTGGGTGCAGTCGGAGGTGTTAGCGTAGCTGAAAATGAGGGGGTGTGGACTCCCGCTGGACAGAGACATTGTCCGAGAGCTGGCCAGGACCAGCGCAGTAATTCCGCATCCTGCAGACCGTCCAGAGCCCGAGGCCCGGCTCAGGCGGCTGCTGGGGGTCCCTGCCATGTGCTGACACTCCCCCACCCTGCCTACGGCCTGGCCCAGAATTCCATCCCGCCCTCTGAGCCCCAAATGCAGTGTTCATGGTGGTGGTGAGGAGGCCATCATTCTGAGCCCCGAATTAGTGGACAGCAGTCCCGACCCCAGTGAGGGAACCTGCGGCAGGGCCACTGGGCTTGGTTGGGTTCCTCTAAAATTCGTCTTCTAACCAGGAAAAACCACTGGATTGGAGCCAAAGCCTTAGTCAAACTCATCAAGCCAAAGAAAGATGGTTCTAGAGAACGTTTGAAGTCAGCCACAGACAGCCCTCCCTGGCAGCCGGAGGCCTCAGACCCATCCTCACCGTCTGCTCAGCCTCTCAGATCTCAGCCAGAGAACCCCGAGACCCCATCAGCCGCAAACGGTGTGGAAGAGCGAGACACCCCCAACGGGCCTGTGGGGAAAGGTAGGAGAGGCCTGTGTGGGGTCAGGCAGGGGCGGTGGTCTCAGGGACTCGCGTGGGGGGTAGAGCCAGAGGGGTACAATGGAGGTACAATGTGTCGGGGAGTGCGGGGCACCCACAAGCTGCCTCCTTGGGGAGGCAAATCCTCATCAGGGCTGTGGCAGTTCTGTCTGGTCACCGTGGTACTTGAGGAGAAAGAAGCCTCTCATGTGAAGCTGCAGTGCCCACCGCCCATGTCCACTCAGGATGAGCTCAGGGGTGTCGGCTATGGGTTCCCTCATGTGTCCAGCGAACTGTTGCTGGGGTGGGGGCATAGATTTGGGGACGCCTGGCACGTAGGAGGTCTCTACTGCCTCCCGCCTGATGTGGCCTTGAGTCCTGCCATCCCCGGGAGGGCCGGGTGGGAGTTTGCGGGGCTTTGCTGGGGCTCTGGTCATGGGTGTGGCACTTCACTGGCTCGGGGCTGGGGCACACACTACCTGGTCACCTACCACAGTCAAGGCCCCTGAGAACTTGTCCTTTACCCTTGTTGGACAGAAGCTCTTTTGAAAGACTTAAACATCTGTGCACAAACACAAGGAACACAGGAGCCGAATAAATTGCTGTGGCAGTGACAGGCATCTGGGTAGCCGGGACTGAGACTGGGAGGTCACACCTGACTTCAGAGGCATTAAGGTCCAGGACCTGGGGGCCTGTGCGCTTTAGAACGGGTTAAACAGCAGTTACCTTAAATGTTTCAAGTTTACTTTGAAACTGCATTTTACAGACTATGCCAGCAGCTTCAGTGTTTAAGAACTTTCTGAATGTCAGGCCTGTGCTCAAGGCCTGTGCATTTGTGGGGACCAGTGTTGCCCACAAAGGTCACCCCGACTGTGTCATGTGCACAAGCCAGGGAGGAGGGTGACATTTGATGTCCTGCCGTGTCGTGTGGGGACTGGCATTGCAGCCAGCAAGTTCCTTGCTGGTGACGTGGGAACATCACTGCTTGTTGCTCTCAGGAGGCCACGTTAGATTAGGGGGACGTTCAGAGGAAGAAAGTGCCTGACTGTCCAGAGCTGAGCTGACCCATGAGTACATCAGTAGGGGGTCTTCATACCGGGGGTCACTCGGGTGTACAGGCTGCATTTTTCTCACTTGGTCCTAAGTATCCTGTGAAGTAGGTGTGACCAGCACGCCTTCTCAAGGCTGAGAAAATGAGGTTCAGCACTTTCTTGAGCTCTTACTTTCTCCAAACACCACCCCCACTCTCCAGCACTGGTGCAAGAGGTACTGGGTGGACCAGCCCAGGGCCCAGTCCTCTCTGACCCTGTAGCGTGAGCGTCGACCAGCAGGTGGCGCTGTGAAGCAACGTGTAGCTTTAATCCTAACTTGAAAATTGTTTAAATCAGTGAATGTGAGTATGGTACATATTGAGGAAGTTAGATACATTGTTTGCTCCGATGAGACTCTAACTTAAAGGCCATGAAGTGGACGGTTGCAACCAGAGGAGGCTTAGGGGCTCTCAAAAGAAATAATGATTCTTAGTGTTGAGGGCTTTTTGGTATGAACGTTTATAGAACTGGGGTACAGGTGAGAGGATTCACCATAGTCAGAGTGGGGAGCAGAACAGGCAGATCGACAAAGCACACTGCTGAGGGGAGCAGCAGGCGGGTCAGAAGAGGTCTGCTGCACCATGTGGATGACCTCCGGGCCGGGGATCGAACTTGCTCTGAAGCGGCTGCAGCTGGCTTGCAGTGCAGCACCCTAACACGTTACGCCACCAGAGAGGGTCTGTTTTCATTTGTTTAAACCTGTACTGTCACCAGAGGTTATCTCAGATGTACAGAAATGACTGGTGAGTTCTTCAAGCAGGCTTTCTCAGTAAGCGGGCCAGGCACATCGCTGTTGGGGCCCTTTGGAGAGGAACTGGAGCCAGTTGTCAGGGGGCCTGTCATTAAAATGGATGAGTAAGAAAAGCCAGTTCCCAATTAATAAATGTTGTCTTTAATTATTTAATGCATTGACATTGAGAAATGGTCTAAGCCACTGTCTCCCTCAACAGTGTCTCACTCCCTGTGTATGCTGAGTAGCCAGGGCCCGGGAGACGCCCCGAGCTAATTACCGGGGCCGAGCGCCGGTGACTCGGGCCGAGCTGGTCTGGGTGGCCGGGGCTGGTTTCCCTCCCCGGGCCGGCCGAGCCTTGCCTGCCTAACTACATGTAGCTGCTGTAGAGTCATTAAGTCGCTTGTTGTTATTGTTCACTTCATTTATTTGTTTTTTTTTTCCTTCCTCTCGGGTTATCCGGGTGATAACAATTTAGCAACTCAGCGCAAAAAGAGCCCCTTTTTGAGAAGCAAAAGCAAGGAAAAGGACAAGTCTCCGACAGCCCACCCAGCTCTCTCTAAACGCCTGCGGTTCTGGTCTTCCTCTGACACCCCACCCTCTCCTAACGAGCCTCCCCCTTTCTCAGACATCGGCGATTTCTAATCCTTTTCCTTTATCATCGTGTGTCTTCATCATCACGTACCCTCCATTTCTGAAATTCAAACAAACTAAAAAAAAAAAAAAAAGAAAAAAAAAGAACCCAGTTAAATTCTTGTAGATGTACTATAAAAATTGAAGCCCAAGCATTGATTGGAAAGATCACTGATACAACTTCAAGTAACGGTCCCAAATCCGGTTGCCCCCATCATGTTTAAAAAAAAAAAAAAAAAAAGCAGAAACAGTACCTAAAGGCCAGCCGACCCTAGCGGACCCTCCTCCCGACCCCACTTGCAAAGCCAAGCTTAAAGTAGCCAGCGTGGACTCTGATTCCAAGAGAGAAGATGAGTGGCCTCACCCTCTGGACTGCCCCTCCCGCGCAGCACAGGTGTAGGGGCGCCCCGGGCCCCCCGCAGGGCCGGCCAGGATGTCGGTGCTGAGTAAGTGCCCGGTGCATCCGCCCCCTGTGCTGCAGGCTTGCGCCGTGTGTGAGCGCCTGCTGGTGTTGCTGTGTCCGGCAGAGCGGGCCGCTGGCCCGGAGCTTTGTCTTTTTAAGCAGCTAAGTTTAACCCCGCTGCCCTTCTCTCTCTGTCAAGTGCTGAATTGTTGGCTTTTGCTCCTAAGTCCCCTCTTTTGACGCCTTCTCTGTTGCGAAGGATGTTTCGCTCCACCCAAGCATTTTCAGTGATGGGATCGTTGCCACGGAGCCAGAGTCCGGGCCACAGTGAAGTGACTGCTGTAGCTGTCGGACATCCCGGGCGCTGAGTTAAGCCAGTTGAGGACGGGAGGAGTGTCCGCTGGGGGACACGCGGGTCCACCGTGGCCTTTAGCTACTGCAGTTTCCGCCTTCACCCCCTCCCGTCGCATCCTCCTGAGCTCACCGCGCCCTCCCCCCCCAGCTCACTGGCCCTCTATGGACAGTTTCCACTTAAATTTACCGCAAGAACAATGATGGTCAGTACTGTAAGTGGAAAGCCAGTGTCACCATGAAACTAACACACAGCTGCCAAGCTGTGGAGGCCGGCGGGTGCGGCCAGGCCTCGCTGCGCCCCTGCCCGCATGCTGTGGGGTCGTGCTGCCCCCCGCCATCCTGTCAGCTGCCCGTCCCTCTGCGCCTCCCTTTGCTGCTCATCTTAACCTCACCTACCGGATGTCTGTCCCAGCTCATCCCACCAGACCTGAGTCTTGCTTCTCATCAAGGTTATCTTTCACAAGCCAATTTCCCCCTTGATTTCAAGTTGTGAGGTTTGGGCGCCTCCTGGGTGGCCGTATCCTGACGGCGGACCTGGCTCTGGGTCCGCCGGCACCGGGAAGGACTCTGTGCCCAGCATGTCCCGATGCTGACGGACGCCCACCACCGTCGTCGCTAGGCTGTGTTTGGGGAGGGGTAGCTTTTTGGCTTTTTGTTTTCACTCATCGTCATGTTGATGATGGCCCGTGTCCGTGTAGAGCATCTCGAGAGTGCAGAAAAGCAAAGCGCAGGATGCCAGGCCAGGAGCCTCTCTCCCTGCAGAGGGGAGGCCTCTCGGGTCGCTGGCAGGATGCTGCTTCTCGAATCTCAAGGGAGCCAGGTGGCAGGACGCACACCTGGGCATTCAGGCCCGTGACTGTCCTGAGCAGCCGTCTGCCAGGACCTTTTGAGACAGGACTTTGACAGGCGTGTGACCTGGCAGGTATGTCTCACCTCTGTGTTGAATTTTCTTCCGTTTTGGTTTGCTTCAGAGCACTGTTTATTGTCTCCCAGCCAGCGTTAGCGCCAGGGCCGGCCCGCCAGGGCTGGCCCTCCGGGGCCTCCTGCTCCCGTCCCAGCCAGGAGGCCCTGCTGCCCAGCTTTGCCTGTGCTCCGTGTGCCCTCCTGCCCTGCCGCCAGGCTTCGGATGTCTCCCTGCCTCACCCAGGATTTTGCACAGCCCCATTTCTCCATGTCCTTCTCTGCCCCAGGCCCTGGGGACCTAAAACCAAAGCGGGGGTCCCCGCACGGAGGCAGCCTCGACCACACAGAGGCCTCCGCAGAGCCTGCCACGAAGCCCTGGCCCCCCGAGCTGGGCCCCCGCACCTGTTCCGCCTCAGCCGTGGCTGCAGCCCGTTCCAGCTCCACCCCCGTCTCCCGGCACCCAGGCCGCGCCAGAGGTGAGTGCGGGGGCCTGCATCAAGAAGGACCAACGCCTGGGGCCCAGGGTCCTTCCGGAGGACCCCAGGCTCTCAGAGAAGCAGGGTCTCCGCTCAGGCTGAGGGTGGGTGGGCAGGGTTCGAGCTGTGGACGGGCTTTGGCATTGCGCAGTCCTGGCTTCAGCCGTCGCTCTGCCTGCCTGCCGGCTCTGGGCACATCAGAGGTCTGATCCGAAACCACTCATGGGGGAACCTCAGGTCCACAGGTGCCACCCTGTTTGGGGACTGGCAGAGCAGGGAGTTTCAGGGTGCTGAGGACCAAAATCTGGGTCTAAAAGAGACAACTGCTCCCACCCCACTGGTGCAGTCAGAGGCGTATTCTCCACAGAGAACAAGTGGAGGGTCTGTGTGCTGCAGGGCGGGTAGCAGGGGGAGGCGAAGGCAGATGAGAGCAGGGGTTCTGAGCCGAAAACCGAGGGACTCGGAGGGGGTTGCGAGCCCAGGGCCCCCCAGGATGCAGGCACGAGTTGCACTGTTCTTTCCATTACCCCGTGATCTCCAGAAATTCCAACTCGGGCTCAGTGCAGTTTTGCCAGGGGAGCCCGTGGCAGGCAGTTCAGGGGCCTCAGGGAGACCCTGGCCACCAGAGACCAAAGCCGAATTTCGGGGCAGTTATCAGCAGACGTTGGGCAGAGGTGGAGTCTGAAACACCCTCGGCACAGCCGCTAGGGACGGCCTCTCCAGCCAGCGCTTCACGCGGTGTCGGGGTCCCCAGTGCGTGTGAAATCCTGTTTACCCTGTACCGCCGCCGCTCGGGGTGGCCACGTAGAGCGAGCTCGTGCCCTGGGCCGCGGCGGGCAGCCTGCCCCACCTGGGCAGCACAGACCGCGGCAGGTGAGACGGGCCTCGGGGCAGCGAACGTGAAGCTGTCACACCCAGGAGACACCGAGGTGCTGTCACCCGGGAGGCAATGAAGGGTAGCATATGCAAATAAAAAGGAAAGACCATGCTAAAGTGCAGAGACTTTCTGCTTGGAGTGGACTGAGAGGAACATTTCAAAGAAACAGCTGAGCCGCTGGGAAGTTGGTGCTCTGAGGTGTGAGACGCTAGAGAGACCTGGGAGTGTGGTTAATTTCAGAATAACACCCACTTCACGCCTGAGACATGGGTGCTAACCCTGGTGACAGGCGCAGGGAAGCCACACGTGGCCCTGCTCTCCAGGCTCACCGGGCTGGCTCAGGACCTGTCCGTCAGAAGTAGGATGTGTCCCTGGGGGAAGATGTGCCGGGCAGACACCAGACCCCCGGCCGGCCGGCCTCCACTCCTGCCAGACGTGGGAGGGCCAGCTGCTTAATGTTGGGCATTGAGACTGGCCGGCCGCTGCCTGGAACGGGCGAGCTCTGGCCGTGGCATAACCCAGGCGTCCACGGTCAGGATCTCCCCAGGCCCTGGGGTGCAGAAACCCTCCCTGGGCTTGGGAAGAGCTGGGAACTCCCATCTGCCCTCATCTGCCCAGGGGTTAGTGTGCTCCCTGCCGCCCTCTAGGCCATGCACAGGCTGTCTCAGCTTAGCCCCCAGGCCTGAGCCAGAACCGAAGCCCAGGAACTTCCC